TTAATTTTACTCTTATAGAGTCACATTCTGTTTATGTAACTCTGGGGTGTATATTATTAGTAGTTAAAATCCAGTGTTAAAACAAAGTGTTTCCGTATCAAATCTAGAGGTGTTAAAATGGAATCAGTAACTCTTGACTTCTTAACTCTGAACTCCTACAGCGGCTCTAACACTGAAGGAGTTAATTCACTGACTCCGCCCCAGAGTCACAGATTCCCACTGAAGCGAAGCGACAGAAGCCAAGTTCTTTCAGGACTATTTACTTTCCACCTGTCTGAGGTGTTTACCACGCTTGGTAAGTCATTTTTTTCTGAGATGGTTTATAACTATTATTTTGAGTTGAGCTCAACCTGTATGATAGACGTCACGTTCGCCTCACGGCTCGTTGTTAGTTAGCATATTTAGCTTAGCATGCCGAATGTTAGTATGTATAAGCGTTGGAAAAAAGCGAGCCGGTGAAGATTTAATCAAATTATGGGCTAACTTGAACAGATCCGTAATAATCTGGAGTATGTTTTTTCATGATGTTGAACGTTTACATACATATTGGTCAGCTTTATCAACCTTTCTGATCGATTTTTTTTTCCTTTGAAAAAAGGTAAAAGGCTTTTTCACGTTGAGAGCATTATTCCCGCTGTTGTGTCTTCTTATATATGTTTTGCAGCATATTTTAATCCTTTTATTGCATTTTTGTATTAGAACCAGTCTGGTTGAGGATGAATCGCCAGTCGTCAGCCTAACCTCCCCCTCCCGATCCTTCCATGGATTCTTCGAAGATTCAAGCTCCAAAAATGATTATTTTAGTGTTAATATCTGTGAAACCCTACATTTCTGTAATGGAGGCTTGTTAGAGTTGTAGTAAAAATGTATTCATTCGTTCCATTCCTCATTGTTTTGTTTTTTGTTTGTTATGATCCAGAGACCGACACCGGCTGTCGTACTCAGAGACTGAAGACTGTCCGATGCAGTAGAGGAGCATGTTGGTGTCTCTTGCCAAACGTCACGAACAGCCCAACAACCTGAAGACAGTCTGTTAGTGATGGACATCTCTCTGGTGGAGTGCAGAGAGGAACTGTCTCTTATCAACAGAAACAGAAACTGGATAAGAAATGATGGATCTGAATATCAGGTTGGTCTGTTATGTAATATCTGGCAATCTACCTGTTAAAAGAAATGTACTCTATCATATTACATGAACTGCATGCTTTGATACAGGCTTTACTTTCTCCACCTTGTACTTTTAACAATTTCATGCGTATAGTATTGAAGAAAAATGTATTAAGCATACTGCATTTTGTATTGCACAGCTGACATGTTAGACCTTTTAATAAGCAATATGTGAATGAAAGTGACATGTGAAACATGCACATTATTCCACGTTGTAATATGTTTTGTAATTATGGTGCACGTTTTGAAATAAATGCATTTGAGAAAATCATTGCCTGTTTATTAAATATTTATTTTCCAAAGAATTTTTAAAAGTTCATAGCAATAAAATATCTATCTAATATTAATTACAAATAACTCTTATGAAGTTAAAAATACTCTGTGAGAGTTAATATTAAGATCTAACACTGAATTAGTGTTAGTAAGTGTTAAATTATTAACTCCAGCAGATTTGATATTTGACACTTTATAAGAGTTAAGTGCAACTGCTCAACATGATTTAATTCTCATGCATTTTTCTTGTTCATAAGAAAACTGCGTCCCTCAAAACACATTTTACACCATGACCTATGCAAATATGGCAAATAATGCATACCAATTTATAAGCTATTTTGCTTAGCTCAAATACCATTGACCTTTTAATGTCAACATAGGAAGTTGTACTCATGAATTGGGGACGATAACATCTAATTAAGAACTTTGAAAAATTTAAAAACTGCAGATATGCATTAGCGCTGGTTGTTTTACACTTTGTCAAATTCCAGATTATATTTCAGAAAAATATATAAATGGAGATAGTTTTGCTAAGCAGTTCAGTTGTCTCGTCATCAGAAACTCTCAAAGGGCTTAAAAGCAAAAACCTGATTGCTCACTGTCTCGTAGAAATGATAGGATATTGATCTGACACATAAAATAAGACATTTCTGGATTTTAAACAAGTAGGTTACTTTTAAATGGTGGAATCATGTTAGTTCACATTAAACAATAATAGTTTAAGTGCTATGGAGACGTGATTAAAGAATGGAGACAAAGTGAGTACAATCAATATGATGCAAAACACCTGTAGGAGAATCAAGGCAGGGGTTTAATATTCAGTCTAACGTCACATTCTACTACTCCCTCATATCTGGTCACTGTCTTTTAATTACTTAATCTATTTTATCAGAACCCTCCCTCATCATTGACAGGTTTGCTTTGTACCACACCAGTTGTATGAATTCACTGGATTTCCTATTTTTGCAGAACCTACAGAAGGTTTATTGGTTACCTCAACCTGTGAGCCTGCATTTATGTAAATGTGTCTGGGATCCACATCGATTCTTTCTACTTTTAGGGAAAGGCTGTAGGTTTTTAAGCAAATGAAAACTCTGCAATGACCTTCAAGGACATCCACCCATCAATCCATCTTCTACACCTTGAAGGGTTTCCAATTCCAGGTGGTTATCTTCAGCAGTCAATGGGTACCAGATAGGGTTCAACCTGTGCTACAACAATGTTATCAATTTGTGGGTTTTTTATTTTTTGCTTTTTCTATCTTCTGACACAGTGGTCATGGCAGACAGCTGCTCATACTGAGCCAGGTTCTGTTGATGGTTTCTTAATGCTAAAACTGGGTTGTCATTTGGACAAATTATGTTTTGGACATAATTTGTCCATTATGTTGGAGGAATTTAACCATGGCTCTCAGTTTTGCTAGATGGAGGGTAACTGTCCACCTTATAATTGTAACATTTTATGCACTGCTACACATAATAACCAAATTCAAAGACTAAAGTATTTTTGAGACTTTTTTTTCTGTATCATTTTTGAAATCTTAAATGGGCAGCTTGTTTGCACTTTTGCTATTTAATACACAGCAATGACTGAACAACGATTTCTTTATGCATACCTTTCCATGCACCTCTCCTTGTGTATGCACAATACATTTACTGTTGTGGAGACTTTTTATTGTTGTGCTTTGACTATTTCTTTTAAGTTGACAAAATGCAATGGTGCAATACAATGACTTTTAGGAGAGCTGAGTTCAGGAATCAGGAGGTTATTATGAAAATATGTTGAAAATCCTTTGCAGTTGGTCTATTTGACCAATCCTGTCTGAATCAATATTATTCCTGCTATTATCTCTGTATGAATACGAGTCGCATGAAAAAAAGCATGTTTTCCTTATTCTCTAAGGCTCATATGTTTTGGTTTCCTATCTTCAAAAAACGTACAATTTCAAAAGTGGTTTTGAGTTTGCTTTAGTCGACAACTTAAAACTTATAGAAAAAAATGCCAAAAATAAACCTGCCATATATAAATATTTCTAATATCTTCTTAAATAATTTAATTACGAAAATTATAATAATATCCATAATAAGATTAGCATGCGCTTGTGTCGGGATTTTAATATTTTAGCAAATCAATTTCTTTTATTCAGTCTGCAGAAACATGAATTTAACTTACATTCAATAAAGTAATTAGAAAAACACTCAAAGTTACGTCGTACTTGCCAAAACAAAACAAATGAAAACCCTCCGTCAGTCGCAGGTTAACAACAACATCAAAATAGTCAGCAGGGGCGTTGGTGAAAGCTCATTCATCTTCAGCAGCCTGGAGCGGATGTGTCACTTCGATCCACTCTGCATCACTTGACGCATCAGTGTAACAGGAAAAACAAAATATATGTAGTTAGTAAGTTGACCGAAGTGTTGGATAGGAGCAGTGGACACTGGATGCGACAGGCGGTTTGGTGAAGGTTTGAACAATGCGAGAACGACCCTCGAACTTCCTGATCTGGAAACAGTTTTTCTAACGAGGGATTTATCTGAATCACACCCAGAAGGAAACCGGTAAAGTTTTTATTTCTTTTCTTCAAGATTCACTTTGCCAATTCATTTAAAATTAAGCGCAAATTCATAGAATTTAGTCTGTCCCCTAAGGGGGGCGGGGGGGAAGGAACAGTTTTAAAAAACTTTTATAAGGTTTAGAATATATTTAATGTGAACTGTTGAATGTTTACAGTGGACTCATTTTAAACTGAAAGTCTTAAATGCGAAACTAAGGGCAGGTTTTCATGTGTCATATATAATTTATATGTTTGTCTATATATTTGAGCTTTAGTTTCATAATTTGATTAATTGATTTATGACAGGTGTCCCTCTGAAAATGCTAAAACTTCCCTCTCTGATATCTTCCAGCAGACTTATAGACAATTATAGCAAAAAATACATAAATAAATAAAAAGAAAAAATGGCTCAACTATTTTACAAGAGAACTGACAACTCCACATACAATGACCGTCTCCCACTGCGGGTTGTGCGGGCAGAAGCTGAGCTCTCTCCCATGGAGAAGGTCTACCTGGGGGCCGTAGAAAGAGGGGACTACGCGAGTGTAAAACAAGCGTTAGAGGAGGCTGAGATCTACTTCAGAATCAATATCAACTGCATCGACCCGCTGGGACGCACGGCCCTCCTTATTGCCATCGAAAACGAGAACCTGGAGATCATAGAGCTCCTGCTCAGCTATAACATTCATGTGGGTGATGCCCTGCTGCACGCCATTCGTAAGGAAGTAGTGGGGGCCGTTGAGCTGCTCCTCAATCACAAGAGGCCACGTGGAGAAAAACAGGTAACAGAAAGCAAATATTGTTAGATCAACCTCAAAAAGTTATTTTTTATATATTAAACTTTTGGTGTTTTTTAAACTAAGTTTAAAGTCTCATTTGTTCAAGTGGCTCTACTTGTGTCTCTTTTAATATAAGACTCAGTTCCTGGACATTTCCTGGACATTATTCAAAAGTTAAGAAAAGAAAAACTTTTAAAGCTGATTTTTTTTTTTTTTTTTGTAGATTATTTTAAATGTGATAACACAAATTGAATCTCATAGATTTTTTTCTTTTTGCAGATGCTGTGTATTGCGGAATATTTAGTCATGCTGCAATCACAAAGCTCAATGTGCTTTTATTGGGACTTTATTTGACAAACCATGAACTTTGTCTTTTAGCTTCAAAAGACAAATTTGGAAGTCAATATTAGTCTTCAAGGCATTTTCCAAATAAAATACGATTGATGTTCAGACAAACATTTCTTAGAACAGCTTAACCACAAGCCATTAGCTGTGGGCTTTCAGTCAGAAGGCATTAATTTGTTCCTTTCAAACTGTTGTTTGCATCCTGTATGGAGTTTGAAAGCAATGTTCTTCTAAAGCTATACAATACTTGTGTTATCTACCTTGGTTTGTTTATTGTCAACTCATTTGTGCATTTCTCTCTTGGTTCCTCGTTAAGATCCCCCCAATTCTGTTGGACAAACAGTTTTCAGACTTCACTCCAGACATTACTCCAATCATCCTTGCAGCTCAGACAAACAACTATGAGATCATCAAATTGCTTCTGCAACGAGGTGTTTCTGTACCTCAGCCACATGCTGTGCGTTGCAACTGCATGGACTGCATGTCCCACACAGACGTGGACAGCCTTCGTCACTCACGTTCTCGTCTTAACATCTACAAGGCCCTTGCCAGCCCCTCTCTCATTGCCCTCTCCAGTGAAGATCCGTTCCTGACGGCTTTTCAGCTCAGCTGGGAGCTGAAGGAGCTCAGCACAGTGGAGAATGAGTTCAAGTCAGAGTACGAAGAGTTGTCCCATATGTGCAAACAATTTGCAAAAGACCTTCTGGACCAGACTCGAAGCTCGAAGGAGCTGGATATAATTCTCAACTACCATGATGACACTGATCCTCTGATGGATGAGAACAACAATGACCTAGCCCGTTTGAAACTGGCAATCAAATACTCCCAGAAGGAGGTACGTGTCTTTTATTGATAACGGCTATTTCAAATTCTACATCGGCGGTCTGGTCAGAAGGAACAACATTGATGTATTTAGTGTGGTAACCTTTGTGTGCAAACTTGGAAGGGATACTATTTACAATTAAACCAGTACAAGAAGAAACTAGATTTCATCTGATTTGATCAGTGTGGAGTGAAGGAAGAGTGAAGGACAAGAAAAGTGCCAAGATGGGCTGTAAATGGCCAGAGATGGGTGGAGACATCCTCTGGGACTTTAGAGCAACATGTAATTGCCAGTCTGCCTCTTAACAATGCATTACAGTAGGCCCTTTTAGTGAGTCTCATGATGATTAGATAATTGGGTATAATGATGGAAGATACAACGACCATTTCCTTGAAATTCAAACTCATGACATTTTAATGAGGGAGGGACATTTTATGGTCTTGAAAATCTGCTTTTGAGTTTGCATTCATGGATTTATTTTAGCTAAAGCTACAGGAAACCGTGAATGTAAAGCACAATTGAGGCAGAGAGTAGGTATTACAAAACAAATAGTCAAAAATACAAAATCAATTATCATAAAATAACAAGCAGTGAACATCCAGTTGTAAATCTCCAATCATTCACTTCCTCTACTCACTAGATTTTGTTCAGTGCAACGGGGCAAACAAGCTTCTGATTGCACCATGCAAAACTTTAGCCCCAGACAAACAATCACACATGTTGGTTTGGTGGGATCAAGAGGCTCTGTCTTGTTTTTGAAGCATGTGGCTGGGATTTTGCAGGCAAATGGGAGGTTCATGAAATGAAAGTGAAAAGCACAAAATATAAACTGGCTCTGAGATTACTTCTGTAGGTGGATCAAAGAAGTTACTCTAGTGTGTTCATTATTTCTGATGATTCTCGAGGCATGCAGAACACATGCAAAGTAAAACCTAAAAGGGGATATTGTGTACACTTGTGCACCATGTCATTCTAATCAAACGCACTTTTCTTAGCAATTTACACAATGAACACCTTTAAAAAAAAGCTAAAGATTTGGTCACTCCCTGTACTGGTGTTAATGTAATGCCAGTTGAAACGGATGTTGAGAAATAAATCTGGGCAGGTTAACAACTTTTTCCAAAACAAATTTCAGATCTGAATTTCATAGTGACAGGGAACATTACATGTGAAAATTTGAAAAGCTAGTTGCCATTCTTAAAAAAAAAAAAACATGGAAGCCCCAGCAAGGGCATACCATGAAATAAGAAGGAAAACCTGAGATATAGCCTCTATTGTGATATGTATGTTAAACGTCTATGAAAACTCCAGTTACAAAGACTGGGCACATACAGTATCTTGTTTGGAATCACATGTAATTGTGAGGTTGTGTCCAAGTTTAGAATAAATATAGACATTCTCCTTGGACAGACAAGACCAAACACACAAAAGAACTGGTGTTTGGCCAAAATTCAGAACAACACTTGTAGAGAAATCCACAGAGCAAATCAGTTATCAACCACAGCAACCATGCTTCAAACATTGTGTTGGAGAGGACTGATGACTTGGGTTTGTTTTGGCAGCCATAGCACTGAAGTGCTTTTGAAGTCATTGAGTCAACCATGAATTACTTTGCAAACCAAAGTTTTCTGTCACCAACGTTTTCTGTGTCATACATGACTTAATGTGAATCTGATGAAATGACTGTGATTCCAGACACAACACCACATCATTAACAAACAGACTGCAAAATGTATTAAATATAGTGTGTGACGTGTAGAGGATTTTTGCAATGGCTAGTTTCAACTCTGATTATCTGAGGTACAGATCTTGGATTAGGAATTTAAAATTATACTTTAGAATACAGGTTTTTATACTTGTGCTGTTCAGTAGACCTGCAGAAAACACATTGTGAGGGAAAGTAAGTGCTGGAACAATATTCTCGGCTATTTTATCTGAGAACCTAATAATTTAATAATGAAGTAAAATAGAAAATAGAGGGAGGACATAAGATTCGGGCTATTTGAATCTATAAAATTTAAATATTGCTTTCTGTCTCAGTACTAGCCACAGTCATGCTGTCTTTATGTTCACTCAGGAACAAAATGTGTGGCAGCTCTACTTTGCTTTAATGTTTTGTGGAATGGGGAAAATGAAAATTCATGATGAAACATTCAGCCAACCTCTAGCACTCCTCTTTATAGTTAATTTTTCTTTCATTTGTGTAATATTTATTTAAATTTCGTAAAAACAGTTGAAAAATGTCAGTCACCCTTTACTTCATGCTCTATTTCATGAGGATCCTGATGTCCTAACGGAACCATTGACTGACATGTAATAGCTTTGGGGGAGACCGTTAAACTAAACAGGCTGTATAGGATCTATTTGACTACAATGTTGCTCAAATGAAATTAACATCTATTACTGTCTGCAAGTGTTCATCAAATATTTATATCAAATCTCGGTAGACTGAAGGATAAGCGTAGGAAACAGACTTGAGATTCAGTTTGGATTCCAGTTACAGCAATCAATTGTTACATTTCTTAAACTGAATAACTGTTTAAGGCACATGTGTCAAACTCAAGGCCCGCGGGCCACATGTGGCCCG